TGCTATTCCAGTGCTTATATCCGAAATCTGAAACTTTTTTTATTAAATGGAATGATTGTTACAATTGAAATTGGTATCAAACAATTATGTCTGTTCATTAACGTAAACTTGAAACGAGTATCCGCCTAAAGCTGTTTACGGAATACTCGTTGATATACTTATTCCCTTTTTTGATGCAGATTATTTTGTGGTTATGGGTGTAAAAATATTAGTATATTTCGATATTTTAAGAAGTACATCGAAAAATGCAAGCAAGAATTCCGTCTGATATGTTCAAAAAAAGCGAAAGCATATGAGAACAAAAATTATTTCACGATTTCTTGTTACCCATGTAGATTTTTTCGTTAAGAAATCTCAATCCACAACACAAAGCTTCCGGCGATATAATCAAAATCTTATGCTGATGCGACAAGACAAGATCAACTCAAGATTTTCGGTAGCAGCAACCAGGGATTTCCCTACACCCACGCCCTAGTATTGAGGTGTGACGTAACACCATAATCCCTAATTCAGGGCCAGTGCAGATGGTGAGGAAAACTCATAACACATTGAGTTACAAATGCATTATAAGTATAATAGCAAAATATCCACCACCACCTAAATTTCAACCTCCCACTAAAATGAAAAGCTGTGAAGCATACTGGCATTATCAATTTGATCTTGTGGAATTTCATACCGTGTTAGCTATCGAACGTATTTTGTTTTAATGAAGCCCAATTATGTGGATCTCTGGGTTGATGAGAAATTTACCGCTACCATTAACATATTACTTCTTTTATTTTGAAAATATATTAAATAAATTTAGTTAAAAACATTAGAAAGAAGCGTCGTTTGTAGAACAGCTGCACAAAGTAAGCATTGTCTTACTTCCGGTCAAGCCTTAATACAAAATTAAATAGAGCCATATGTACCATGATTTTCTTGTATTATGTTAACATGTAGTTTTCTTGCTGTCACGCATAAAAGGTAGAAGCATCAAGCTGTATCTTCACTTTCAACTTTTGTTTTCTTGAAGAATCTTGAGAGATCCTCCATAACAAAGGTAAGAAATTTTTCAAACGATCTTCGATAACGGTCGTGATTTGAAAAGTCACTCACATCAAACTTTTAACTACTGAAAATAACGACTAAATTTAATACGTGTCACTTCGCAAGCTTTCCATCAAGGATACAAATAAACATCAATGGTATTTGCGTAGAAAGCACAATAAATATAATTCCACCCATTCGGACTGCCTTTAATAAAAGAAAAACTAAGAGAAACTTCTGTTTTAGAATGCTAAGTTTCGAAGTACAGATCAAAAGTCACTGCTTCGTAATTAATACGAGGATTACTATGAATACACTAATAGTCTTATTAATAACACCGTTTATTATCAACAGAATTGAAATTTATATTTTTGCAGTATCACCATGCAGATGAAGGCAACCATCTTGATTGTGCTCGTCGCACTCTTCATGATTCAGCAAAGTGAAGCTGGTTGGTTTAGGAAAGCTGCCAAATCTGTAGGAAGATTTTACAACAAGTAAGTGAACAATATACAGACGTTTAATGCAATGATGAAGTTTATATTGATGAAATCATTTGTTTTCCTCCAAAAACGAATTAATCGATGTAATAACCATTATTTATGTACATGCCATTGCTTTTATTATCACAATGGAAATATGCGTTAAAGCTACAACCTGGGTCAGATAAAACGTTAGAGAAATAAATTTGTGTTAGTGTACGAATTTATTACCATAACTTTAATATTACAGTTTTAGACAATTATTATCACGAAACTAAAAAAATATTGTTTCAAATTGAATCTTTTATATTTTAAGGCACAAATATTACGTCAAAGCAGCCTGGCAAATTGGAAAGCACGTCGTAGGTGATATGGTAAGTTATATAAACACGGTATCTTATCATTTTTAAACCAATACATGGAGTTCCACAACATTGAAGAATATACTCTTAGTAAACATCAAAAAAGTTTGATTAGTGTTTTTTTTTAGATATCTTATAAATATAAACCGATTTTGTTGTTAAATGATAGTTTCCTTCTGACATCTTGAACAAATCAATAGATTGAAGGTTGTTATTATTGTTTGATATGATATGTTTTTTGGCCTTCCTGATGCCGGCAAACATGAGGAGGATATGGCATTTACGATAACAAAAAGTGATTACTGTAGTATCACACAATTAAAATAAGTGTGATACCGACTTAAGACATACGATTACCATGATTAACATTTTGCGCTAACCATGTTTCTGCCTTCAATGTGTAATGAATTCATTCCCTCATCATACTCTGCTGATATTTCTAAATATTCACAGACTGACGAGGAATTCCAAGAATTTATGCAGGAAGTTGAACAAGCCAGAGAGGAAGAGGTTTGTATGTTATTATATAAAACGAACAAAGAGATTAAACATGAATCTTGACTACAAGGAAAATAAAGTTTTAATTAAAATAAAGAAATAATTTTCAAAATATCTTTTTTTTTAAACCGATAATTATTTTGCTTATTTTCATGCTCTCAATTCATGTATTAATTGTATTTTTAATATAAACCATTCTAATTTTTCTGGTTTTATTGCAGCTTCAAAGCAGACAATGAACATTTTCGAAGTTCGACCAAACAAAGATCAAATGGACGGAATAGGAAACGACATCGATTTCAGAATATCTTCTTTCATTTTAAACGGAAATGCATAAAATAAAAAGAGGCGCCATATGTTTATTCTTATTTTTTATGCAATAATATTACGGGTAGAAGAGCAGATATCAAAGTAAATAGGAATAACAAAAGATTAACGAAAAACTCAAAACTGTAAATTATGTTTTTTTACCAATAGCATTCACATCCATACGCTGACAGAACCACAAACAGCTTAATAATTTGTGTCATTACACGGAGGTAAGAATATGAATGTTTAGATGAATCCTAAGCATAGACCCAGGGACGAGCTGCCGTGAGCCAGACCGTGAAGTTACGATTTATCTCACAAAGAGCAAGAAAATCGGAATTGTTTAGCAAACAAAAATAACTCTACAAAATCAAAATTCCTTTTCAGTCCGCGAACATTTACGAACCAAAATATGAGTCAAAACAATGTGACAAATTTCTCTATTTCTAAAAAAAATATATATTCTCAAATCAACCGATTATTATTTTATTTATAATCACAAAAACAAGTGTTTGGGAAACTGATACAACGAATAAAATTAGTAATTATGTTAGTTGTGCGTCCGGAGTTGCGAGGGACCCAGAGAGGTCTTCAAGCAATGACACTTACAACGCTGATACAGGTTAGATTAAAAGTAACTGAATGTAGCTCAACTACTGAGTACCAGTAGTTGTGACGGTAAACATATTTGAGACTGTTACGTAGATTAACTAAAAATATGGAATCAATATTGGAGAAATTGATTGAAAAACATGAAAAGGAGAGGGACAAATGGAAAAGTATCGACGGGGCAAATTTGGCATAATGTAAAACCCAAAACAAGGAAAACAAAATAACACATAAAATTAAAAAAGGCATATGCCAAATACGACGAGAAATTAACAGACTTTAATAAGGTCACAGCGAAGATTAGCGTATTGCAAACAATAGCAATGTGCTTAATATATATATATATATTGTTCGCAGTAAAGAAAATAAAATTCGACTGGGAGAAACGATCGTTAAATTTGTAAAAAAAAAACAGTAAAGACAGATTAACTCAATAAATTATTGCATCCTACTCCGAAGGATATTTGAATTAGAGTTGCAAATATTAATGTGGCAGATATTGAAGAATTTGACTCCTTGCACCTATAGTTTGGCCGACTTGTTCAAAAGCGAGTAGGCCTGGGAACGGTTAAAATGGTTAAAGGTTACGTTTTATTTTGACCGTTAACTGACATCTTACGTACTCGACATTTTGTAGGAGAATATTGCTTCTATTCAATGTTGTTCAAAAACTGTTAAATATGTACCAGAAATATTAGCATATCGACATTTTTGAAAAGTAGTGACGAACGCTTTGAATTAACAGTATTCCCTATCGTACTTAATATACACTCTGCTGGAACACTAGGAGCATGTACACAAGTATATTTTTGCAAGTAGACCGAACCAAAAGATATGTGAAGTATACCCTACTGACTTTGGAGAGAAAGTGCGAAATTCAACATGTTATATCTCTCGTTTCTACTGTCGTCATCTATAATACACAATACCTTTATTTTTATTGACTGGACATGATTCTGTTTTTGTTTTTTCGTATTCCAGAGTTTAAGTCTTGAACTCAATTGTTTTTTCATCTTTAACGTAAGTACCATAACATTTGAGATAATTTTCTGTAAATGATTCGACTGTCACACGAACAGTAGTTTGTGAAGTATTTGATTTTGATTGTTGTATATATTGTCCAGTCATTGGGGGTAGAAGATAACTTAAATATCAGTGAACAGATAAGAAACCTTGTGTGTTAAACGCAATGGAATCTGATAAACAAAGTATCATTGGCCTGAATGAAATTCTATTTCAAATTAGCTAGGAAATCATGGCACCATCTCAAGTGAAATGAATATGAGTCCTAATTTTGTTTATGAAATTACAAAAAAAAACAAATGATGATGTAATATTACAATCAGACACAGAAGGAAACACGAAGTTAAATATCAGTTGCCAGGTGAATCATTGTGAATTTCAACAAAACCATAAACTTCAAAAACGTAATTGTTTGCAGATACTATCTTAAGGTAAATCAAAACAGAGTACTTTATTTTTGACTCTGAAAATTGATGGTCCAAGTAAACTGTTTCAATTGCATCAAAACCCAAAGTTGCCCTATCGTGCAGACAGCAGAAGCCAATTCACGATTTTTTTATGAAGGTTTCTTCCCTCTATTGTCAGACGCAAGTTCTAGTCACGCATACATTGAAAACAGGAAATTAGTCATCAAAGATATATCCTAAGACTAGAGTCGATCGTTGTAATTCTCCAACAGATTTATTAAATTTACTTTTATATAAAAAAAAAATGGTTTCCGTGCCACCGAGCATAAAAGTTGGAAGCTTCCAGTTATATTTTCACTTTCAACTTGCTACTTTCTGTAGAATATTGACAGATCCTCTATAACGAAGGTAAGAACTTTGAAACAACTTTTGACGCTATGGGACAATATAGAAAATTTATTAAAGTTCTGTTTTTGTTATTGACGGGACGTTTGCTAAAAGTCGAGTCATATTTTATTGCTCATTTGTATTAAAATGTCCACTCAGATTAAATTCATCAGCGATCAATAAAACATAATATTCTGATAACTGTGAACGACTATACAAGTAGTATTACACCGAGGTTTGTTTTTTTTGTCTCTGACGCTCCTGGCTATTTAGTTTATGTTCTAGGTTCACTTTTGAGTAAAATTCCTGATCTTATCATCACCAGTTTTAATTTTACGCTAGCGAGGGAGCGCACCTCAGCTGTTTGCCTCACCACTGTCCCAGTTTTACATCGCTTGGTCTGGCTTTATATCGAGCAAATCATACTGAAAACGAGGAGTTAAAATCCATTTTGTTTCCGAAAAATTATATATCGAAGTACAAATCAAAACAGCACTATATGGATATTATTACGGACATTTGAAAGGTCCAAAAATAATTTTAAATTTTCCGTTTATTATCAACAAAATTAAAATTTATATCTTGCAGTATCACCATGCAGATGAAGGCAGCCATCTTAATTGTGCTCGTCGCACTCTTCATGATCCAGCAAAGCGAAGCTGGTTGGTTGAGAAAAGCTGCCAAATCTGTAGGAAAATTTTACTACAAGTAAGTGAACGATATACACATACGTTTAATGCAATGATGTAGTTTCATATTTATAAAATTATTCAATATTGAAAACGAATACATCGATGTAATAACCATTATTTATGTACATGCCATTGCTTTATTATCATAATGGAAATATGCATTAACGAACTATGACCTGGGTCAGGTAAAACGTTATAGAAATAAATTTGTGTTGGTGTGCAGCAAGAACCTTGAATCTCATAGAATACGCTTGAGACTTGAATACGCAAAAAACCGTAAAATATCGTTAAACATTTGTTAGTTGATGGATGTTTATATCTTATTATCAGAGAAACAAGCAATCAACAAAAATGACGTTGTGTTGTATTTGATATTTATTATGTGATAAACTACTTAGAAATTTTCTATTCCTAAACAATATCAAAATCAATGTTCGATATAAAATATTTAAACTTGAATTAACAACGTTCTCCTGATCACTTTTCTATAAAATATAATGAATACGAATTTATTAAGATAAACATTTATATTACAGTTTTAGACAATTATTATCACCAAGCTAAAAAAATATTGTTCTAAACTGAATCTTTTATATTTTAAGACACAAATATTACATCAAAGCAGCCTGGAAAATTGGAAGGCATGCCTTAGGTGATATGGTAAGTTATATAAACCCGGTATTTTATTACTTTTAAATGGATACATGGTGTTCTATAAAATTTAAGAATATACTTTCAGTAAATATCAAAAAAGTTTGATTTGTGAATTTTACAGATATTTTATAAGTATAAACCGATTTTGTTGTTAAATTATATTTTCCCTTTGACATCAACAAATCAATAGATTGAAAGTTGTTATTATTGTTTATGTTATGTTTTTTGTCCTACTTGAGGCCGGCAAACACGGTACAAGATATGGCAATTACGATACAAAAAGTGATTACTTCAGTATCACACATTTAAAATAAGTGCGATACCAACGTAAGACATAAGATTACTATGATTAACTTTTTGCGCCAACCATGTTTCTGCCTCCAATGTGTAATGATTCATTAACTCATCATAAAATGCTGATATTTCTAAATATTCACAGACTGACGAGGAATTCCAAGACTTTATGAAGGAAGTTGAACAAGCCAGAGAGGAAGAGGTTTGTTGTTAATATATAAAACAAACAAAAAGATTAAACTAAAATCTTGAATTATAGAAGAATAAAGTTTTTGTGATCCGAAAATACGGAAATATTTTTCGAAAAATTTATTCAAATTTGGTCTTTGTTGGCTTTGCTAATATTTATTTTTAAATTTTCATGTTTTTAATTCAGGTATTATTTTTATTATAAACCATTCCAATTTTTCTGGTATTATTGCAGCTTCAAAGCAGACAGTGAACATTTTCGAAGTTCGACCAAACAAAGATCAAATGGACGGAAAAGGAAACGACATCGATTTAAGAATATCTTTTTTCATTGTAAACGGAAATGCATAAAATAAAAAGAGGCGCCATATATTTATTCTCATTTTTTATGGAATAATATTAAGGGTAGAAGAGCAGATATCAAAGTAAATGGGAATATAGAATGATTAACGAAAAACTCCAAAACTTTACGCCTATACATTAAATTTTTTATCAATGCTATTCACATCAACACGCTGACAGAACCACAAACAGCTTAAACCGAGCAAATGCAAATCCCTGGGACTAACTAACTATCTATAATAAATAACAAAATAAAAAAAAGTGTAAAAAGCCATGGCAGGTTCTTATAATTATCTTTCTTCTTTTGTCGTTCTCTTGATATCTTGTTTTCTGTTGAAATACTTCAAAAACAAACAAAAAGTTAGAACATTTCTATATATATGATTAGAGATAAATTTTGTAATCTTAATATGAAGTAGTACTACAAATAGATTGATGTAACAGTTATCAGAAGCGGGAAATTAATTTCGTCAATATTAACAAATCTTGGGTCACCCTGAACAGTTTTGGGCCATTTATAATTAGTGTTATTTCCTAAAGACAAAATGACGAGTTTAAAAAACTTGCAAATTTGCTGAACCAATCATTTCCCTTCAATTCTGAGTCAGCATTATAAATTGACAAATCACCGAAACAAATCTTTTAAAATCTAAACAATGTCACAGATATTGCAATTTCATAAAATTTCTCTTCTGTAACACCTTCTGAAATTTTGCTTTCTTTCTGAAATCGGTTAACCATTTCCAGTCATAACCAGAACGCATCTAAGATAAACAATCCTGTCAAAATCTCATGCTTTGGTGTAAGTAGGCTACTGACACGATGAAGGTTGTTGTAAACTGTTCTTCTGACGAAGTCTGACTTTGGTCGGACAAAACGTTACAGAAATACAGTTGTGTTAGTTTGCAGCTGGACTCTTTTTTAGAAAGAATGAGCTTCAGAATTATGTGTACCAATATGGAGGTAACTAATTTTGTTCGCCTGCTTTACATCAAGTTGTGTTAAGGTGCTGAAACCTATGGACGGAGGGTATGCTATATACACTTCGCTAACACAGACAAGTATATATGGTACTTTTGTAATAATGAGCATTTTCCTTCATTCGAAAATTTCAAGTAAATATTTTATTTGTCTCCATACAGCAGATAAAAGTTAATCAATTCTGAGGCAAATTGTCTTTTATTTATAGCGTCATATTTACTGAGATGCAAAACATCTAAAACGAAATTAGATTCGACATGAATTATTTAAACGTTAACAACCTCTTCATTAATTCAAGAAAAATAAAGCGCGATCTAAAGTTCTAGCCACAGCTAGCTGCAAAAACGTGCTTTTTAGGATCAGTATCAAATCAAGACGTCATGCTCGAGTCATTATGGTATTGTGCTTCATACGCGTATCCTTTGAGTGGTCTTTTTTTCTTTTCATTTCGCTTTTCTTATTCCTTTACGAACCAGGACGACATGTCTAAAATCCGGCCGAATGATCTCATACCTAGCAGACTGAATCGTTTTTATTGAAAGTCGAAAGAAGATCACTTATTACCACCAGGACGATGATTCGGAAGATGTTAGCTGTTCCCTGCTGCGTTTCTTTCCAATTTATTCAGTTTTGATCATGTGAATCCATTCGCGATAATATTGGTGGTGGTATGTTACATTCAAGGTTTGCTGGCGCAGGTAATTTTTCCACTGAAGGGGTATCGAAAACTGATGAGGTGTCAGAAGACTCGATATTGTGTATCTCGACATTCACTAATGCTTCACTATATTTGAAGGCGGGTAAAATGCAGTAGGCTATATCCAATCATTGACGATTCCTTGAGTCTGAAAAGTTGTTTTGCAAGTCGTGATTGTGGTTGCTTTGGTGTTTTCTAAAAAAACATGACCTTTGTTGTTTCGCATTCGAGATGAATGTCTGTACGCATCTTGGCTTCTGGAAAGTTTTCATTGTTGGACTTGAGAAATGTATCGTTTATTTGATTCAATAAGTGTCATTGCCAGCTTCTACTATCTTGTCATCGATAATGCCGCAACATCTCACTCTTTCTTTCGTGCAAACAGATTTTCAAGAATATCTACAACAATGAACTTGATAGTGAGCAAACCTGAAAAAATAGCAAGTTTAATACAATATGACACACATGACAGTTATGATCTAAAAAGCGATTTTTCCAAACAATAGAGTAAAGGACTCTACCGCTGTAGTAGGTAGGGGCCTAAGTCTATAATATTTATGGAATTTATGCGACAAGCGGGCAGCTGATCCAGCAGCTTTTGAATTGTAGCAGGCACGTGAGATATGCTCCATAAATTTCTTGCTTTTTTACTCAAAGTGTCTTAATTAGTTTTGATATAAAGTTATTTAACGTAAACTACCTCTTCATTATTTCAAGAAATTTATAGCACGATCTAAAGTTCTAAACACAGCCAACGTGCGTTTTTAGAGATCAGTATCAAATTAATTAAGACGTCATGCCCGAGCCGTTATGGTATATGGCTTCAGAACTTGAGGGGTCCCTTTTTTCATTTCGCTTTTTTCTTATTCCATTACGAACCAGAACGACATTTCTTGAATTCCAGCCCAATGACTTCATAACCATATTATGTCGACGGAAGTTCCCATTTTTTATTCGAAATTCGAAAGAAGATCACTTATACACAGTTTGTTGTAGACTTCCTCTCGTCACTTCCGCTACGTGTTAGATAGTATTATCGCAACAAAGGGTTGAGGTTTTTCGCCAGGGGTGCACAACGGCCGTCGAAGGCATAATGTGCGTAAGTTATGTTCATGTTTTATATTGGCCCGCCAGAATCGAAATCAGAGATTTCCATTCAACACTTTTTGAAATCTGATAGCGACGACGCTACTCGTTGGAAGAGCCAGCTTTCTTGCTGGATAATTATATATATATATATATTCAAAATATATACGCAAAATATTCAATCCACGGACTATACAAGAGTTCAAAATATCACACTATATAATTTCACACTATAATATAATGTATAAATTCAATTGTGTTCGGCGAAACGAGGGATTTTCTTCAACATATGACAAAATTAAAGCATTATTTCTACTGTAAAATATCATGATAATCTGCGACCATTAGAATAGGTGTTTGATAATATTTATTTAGTTTTGGTACGTATGTCTGCGATCTTGCAAATTCATTATCGCTACTACAAAAATTCCCAGATGTGAAATAAAATCCCAAAGCGTACATTCCATTTTATAACATTAAAAATTTGATTGAACATACTTTACATTGATTAGCTTTTAAATACCATCATAATCTAAGAAAAAGTCGAGTGCAACCCCGACGGTAATTTAAGAATGGGCGAGAAGCTATATCGCGGGTACGAATGATTGTTCAGACTTCGGTACTTTTATATGGTTCACAATTTAAAATAATGGCCAAATTTTGGCAAGTTACAATGGTATTATGATAGCGTTTTTATCTGTCGCGGAATTCTAGAGCAAAAGTAGCGGTGTTTTTCATTCTTGTTGTTAATATTTTATGACATCATTTTTTCAGTCTCAATATTCACTACCTTATTTTCAATCGGAAACTTTTATTTGCAGATTCACCCTTCTCATTGAATTTAGCGTCTCGTTGCCAGTGATTGCAAAATAACCGAAAGCACGGTCCCGGTTGAGAAACAAAAAAATTAACCACGTCTCTCCGTCACAAAACATACTTCCGCTACGGCGCAAGAATTAGTAATTATCATGAAATAGGGAGAATGTGCGGGAAAATGGAATGCTTAATACTGGTAAAAATATTAACAGTTATAATGTAACAAACAATGTAAAATAAATTGCCTGTTAATTACAATCCCCAGGGTCTTACAGTAATATCAAGCGAATATGACTGTCGACCTTCAGTGGTGGGCATTCACATGAGAAAACTCATTTCGGGCCAAAAACTTAAATAAATATATATATATATATATACCAGTTCTGATTTACGTTAGAATTTGCGTGACGCTGAATCAAACGCGTGAATTGCACAAAGCTATTGCGAATATCTGAATTCTGAACACATTTGGCACGCATTTTTAACGCAGTGAATAAATTTCTAGAAGTTTTATTTAGCGCAAAAAGGCCTGTAGCAAAGATATTGCACAGTACACTTCTTATTTTACGATGGCGATACGGATAATCAAATCCTAAACGAAAGATAATAATCATAATGGCTCAAATTTGGAAATTTGGGTCGCGGTCCTCCGACAATAAAAAAACATGGATGTCGAGCGAAGCGCAAGAATGGTGGTACATGTGATAACTGATAACCGATATTGGTTTGTAGATGGCATGAACAAACAAGGCGGAATCACGAAACACACCTTTTCCTATATAAAATTCAAGACACTGTAAAGGAAGGTAGAATACAACAGGCTGAAATAAACAAATCGTCCAAACCAGCGCTCACACCATCACAAGTAAATCGAAAGCGATGTCCCGAAAATTCTCATTCAGTCGTGTCACTGGCGCGTTGGAACGGCGAGGTATAAAATGGGGAATATCAATTTACTCCATAATATAATAATATTTTTTTGATCGGAGGGGTCAATTGTGGCTCGAATTTGTGGAAGACATGGGGTTTAGTTTATTCAATTTCGAAAATACTGCGCGCGCCACTCGGTGCTCTTCTGCAGGCTACATGTAATCCGCGGGTCACGGGTTGGACAACCCTGTCTTATAGCCCAACAGAACCGGAAGTTGGAAACCCCGATACATCTGCAATCTTGTCAGCTGGTTGAGCGTTGTTTGGGCTTTGCTCGCATGAAGTTGATTGCAGAGATGGCTGAGGTCGATCTTCTATCTGTGCCTGCTTTCTCCGAATTCGAATGGAGCATGCGTTTGCAGGGTTCGCGATCGATTGGAAGTCCTTTTCCTGTTGATGGCAGTATTTTAGGAAGTGTCCCGGTGATTTACAATATCCACAGACTGTATCATTTCCACATTCAGTGTATGTATGTCCTTTTTGTAAACATCTTCCACATGTTGGTGTGGTGTGGATAGTT